CCCGAATGCCAAAGTTATCCTAAGCAAAAAGAACAAAGCTGGAGGTATCACATTTACTGACTTCAAATTATACTCAGAGCTACAGTAATCAAAATAGTATGCTATTAGCATAAAAACAGACACATAGCCCAACAGAACAGAATAGAGAACACAGAAACAAATCCACACACTGACAGTAAACTGATTTTTGACAAAGGGGCCAAGAACATACACTGAGGAAAAGAGTCTCTTCAATAAGTGGTGCTGGGAAAACTAAATATCCATAAGCAAAATCACAAAACTAGACCCCATATCTCACCACATACAGAAATCAAATTGAAATGGATTAAAGACTTAAATCTAAGACCTCAAAATATGAAACTACTAAAAGAAAACATTGGGGAAATTCCCCAGGACATTGGTCTGGGCAAAAATTTCTTGATTAATACCCCACAAGCACAGGCAACCAAAGCAAAAATGGACAAATTAGACCACATCAAATTAAAAAGCTTCTGCACAGCAGAGGAAACAATCAACAAAGTGAAGAGACAACCCGCAGAATGGGAGAAAATATTTGCTAGCTATATCCATCTGACAAGTGATTATTAGCCAGAATATATAAGGAGCTCAAACGAGTCTACAGGAAAAAAATTCTAATAATCCAATAAAGAAATCAGCAAAATATTTTAATAGACATTTCTCAAAAGAAGACATACAAATGGCAAACAGGTATATGAAAAGGTGCTCAACATCATCGATCATCAGAGAAATGAAAATCAAAACTACAATCTCGGCTGGGCATGGTGGCTCACGCCTGTAATCTCAGCACTTTGGGAGGCCGAGGCAGGTGAATCACGAGGTCAAGAGATAGAGACCATCTTGGCCAACATGGTGAAACCCCGTCTCTACTAAAAAAGTACAAAAATTAGCTGGGTGTGGTGACACGTGCCTATAGTCCCAGCTACTCGGGAGGCTGAGGCATGAGAATCGCTTGAACCTGGGGGGCGGAGGTTGTAGTGAGCTGAGATTGTGTCACTGCACTCTAGCCTGGGCAAGAGCAAGACTCTGTTTCAAAACAAAGAAACAACAACAACAAAACCCTACAATCTCATCCCAGTTAAAATAGTTTATATCCAAAAGACAGGCAATAACAAACACTGGTGAGGATGTAGAGAAATCAGAACCCTCAAACACTGTTGGTGGGGATGCAAATTAGTACAAGCATTAGGGAGAACAGTTTGGAGGTTCCTCAAAAAACTAAAAATAGAGTTACCATATGATCCAGCAATCCCACTGCTGGATATATACTCAAAGGAAAGGAAATCATATATTGAAGAGATACCTGCACTCCCATGTTTATTGCAGCACTGTTTACAATAGCCAAGGTTTAGAAGCCACCTAAGTGTCTGTCACAAGATGAATGGATAAAGAAAGTGTGGTACATATTCACAATGGAGTACTATTCAGCCATGCAAAAGAGTGAAATCCTGTCATTTGTAATAACATGAATGGAACTGGAAGTCATTATGTTAAGTGAAGTAAGCCAGGCACAGAAAGACAAACGTCACATGTTCTCACTTATTTGTGGGATCTAAAAATCAAAACAATTCACTTTATGGAGATAGAGAGTAGAAGATTGGTTATCAGAGGCTGGGCCAGGTAGTTGGTCAGGGGCAGGGAATGGTGAAGAGGGAGGTGGGGATGGTTAATGAATACAAAAGTAATAGAAAGAATGAATAAGACCTAGTATTTGCTAGCACAACAGGGTGACTATAGTCAATAATAATTTACTTGTGCTTTTAAAAATAACTAAGAGAGTATACGGCCAGGCATGGTGGCTCACACCTGTAATCTCAGCACTTTGGGAGGCCGAGGCGGGCAGATCATGAGGTCAGGAGATCGAGACCATCCTGGCTAACACGGTGAAACCCCATCTCTACTAAAAATACAAAAAAAGTTAGCCAGGCATGGTGGCGGGCGCCCGTAGTCCCAGCTATTTGGGAAGCTGAGGCAGGAGAATGGCATGAATCCAGGAGCAGAGGTTGCAGTGAGCCAAGATCTTGCCACTGCACTCCAGCCTAGATTACTGTATGATTTATTTTTTCTCTTTTATTTATTTTTTAAATCTTTATTCTTTTTTCTCTACTTTTTCTTTTAACATTTTTTAATTTTGAGAAAAGGTCTTGCTTTGTTACCTAGGCTAGAATGCAGTGGCATGACCACAGCTCACTGCAGCCTTAACCGATCCTCCCACCTCAGTCTCCCTAGTACCTGAGAGTATAGGACTGTGCCACCACACCCAGCTAATTTTTTTAATTTTTTGCAGAAATGAGGTCTCATTATATTGCCCAGGCTGATCTCAAACTCCTGGGCTTAAGTGTTCTGTCCACCATGGCCTCCCAAAATGCTGAGATTTCAGGCTTGATGTTAAACTAACCTTGCATTCCTAGAATAAACCTAACTTGGCTATGATTTATTATCCTATTTATATATTGCTGAACACAACAGGATGTACATTCAATTTACTGATGTTTTGTTTGGAACTTTTGCAAGTATGTTTATAAGAGGAATTGATCTTTAATTTTGACTTTTCTTGAAATATCCTTGTCAAGTTTTGGTGTCAACATCATGCTTGTTTCCTAAAACGTGTTGGTAAATGCTCCTCTTTTTTCATTATTTGGAAGCATCTGTATAAGATGGGTGTTCTTTCTTTCTTTTTACAATTATTATTATTATTATTGAGACAGAGCCTCACTCTGTCAACCAGGCTGGAGTGCAATGGCACGATCTTGGCCCACTGCAACCTCCGCCTCCCAGGTTCAAGCAATTCTTGTGCCTCAGCCTCCCAAGTAGCTGGGATTACAGGCGTGCAACACCACGCCCGGATAATTTTTGTACTTTTAATACAGATGAGGTTTTGTCATGTTGGTTAGGTTGGTCTCGAACTCCTGGCCTCAAATGTTCTCCTGCCTCAGCCTCCTAAAGTTCTAGATTACAGGCACGAGCCACCATAACTGGCTTATTTCTTTCTTAAAAATTTGGTAGAATTTGGCCAGGCGTGATGGCTCATGCCTGCCAGTACTTTGGGAGGCCGAGGTGGGCAGATCACAAGGTCAGGAGTTCGAGATCAGCCTGGCCAGTATGGTGAAACTCCATCTCTACCAAAAACACAAAAATTAGCCAGGCATGGTGGCAGGTGCCTGTAGTCCCAGCTATTCAGGAGGCTGAGGCAGGAGAATTGCTTGAATCCGGGAAGCAGAGGTTGCAGTGAGCTGAGACTGCACCACTGCACTCCAGCCTGGGCAAATGAGCAAGACTCTGTCTAAAAAAAAAAAAAAAAATTGGTTGAATTTTCACATTTATTGGCCTAGAGTTGTTCAGAATATCCCCTTATGATCTTTTTAATGTCTGTGGTATTTGTAGTGATGCCCCTACATATTGGTTAGTGATGCCACCGTTATCAGTCACTTTGATTTTCTTTGCTCCATTGCTCAGACTGAAGCACAGTGGCCTGATTATAGCTCACGGCAGCCTTGAGCTCCTGGGCTCAAGCAAACCTCCTGTCTCATCCTCCCAAGTAGCTAGGACTGCAGGTGTGCACCACCAAGCTGGGCTCTTCTTTTCTTTTCGATCAATCTTTCCAGAGTTTATCTAATGTTTAACTCTTTTCAAAGAGTTAATGTTAGTTTGTCGAGACTCTTTTCTTAAAAAATATCTTTTAAGCTGGGCGCGGTGGCTCACGCCTGTAATCCTAGCATTTTGGAAGGCTGAGGCGGGCAGATCACTTGAGGTGAGGAGTTCGATATCAGCCTGGACAACATGGTGAAACCCCGTCTCTACTAAAAATACAAAAATTAGCCGGGCGTGGTGGCACGTGCCTGTAATCCCAGGTACTTGGGATGCTGAGGCAGAAAAGAGAATTGCTTGAACCTGGGAGGTGGAGGTTGCAGTGAGCTGAGTTGGTGCCATTGAACTTCAGCCTATAGAGATGAGGACTCAATATGTTGGGCAGGCTGGTCTCCAACTCCTGCCCTCCAGCAATCCTCTGGCCTTCACCTCCCAAAGTGATGGGATTACAGGCACCAGCCACCACAGCCTCTGTGGAGCCTCTCTATCGAAGCTTGCTTTCTCTTTTTTAAACATTTCCTTCATCCCAGTATTTTTCAGTTTAATCTTTTTTCTAACTTCTTGAGATATATGATTATATCAAGAGATCTTTCTTGAACATCCCATTTCAGACTGAAACCACTCTCCTCTTTTTCTCCTTGGCACTCACCACCATTTAACATACCACATATTTTCCTCATTTATTTTTGTCTCTCCCCATCAGAATGGAATCTCCACGAAGGCAAGGACTTTTGTTTACTGCTGAATCCCCCGGACCGAAACCAGTTCCTGTTTAATAAATAAAACAAGGAATGAATGTGTTAAATGAAGAAACAATAAGAGCTAAATTTATTGAGCAGTTACTATCTGAGACTCAATTATATTCACTCATGCATTTATTCAGTTATTTACTTATTTAGAGAAGGGGTCTCGCTTTGTTGCCCCGCAGGTCTCCAACTCCTGGCCTCAAGCAATCCTCCCAGCTCAGCCTCCCCAGGATTACAGGCGTGAACCACCACGCCTGGCGGAGACTCAATTATAAGGGGCTCACAGATAACATCTAATTCTTACAGAGGAGGAAACTGAGGCACAAGTAAGCAGGAGAGCCGTGATTGGAAACCTAGGTCTAACTCACGGCCCGTGAGCTTTCCTCCAAGTCCCGAGGCTTCCCCTTAAAAAAGCCAGCGAGGGACGAGACCCGGAGGGCAGAACCCACGGAGGGCGGAGCCCACGGAGGACAGAAACCGCGCTCGCGAGCTCGGCCTTGCGCGGCCCCCAGCAGCCAGACGAGCAAGCCGGTCTTGAAATGAATGACCTTCGGAACGGAGCTTGATCGAATCACTCAGCAGTAGGCGTCGCCCACTTTCTTATTGGTTGGTTTTGGTTCTCAAGAATAGGAAACGAAGATAGTCCGCGAGGGGGCTGCGGGCTTTGCGGAGCCTCGCCCCCGGGCGCGCTGGTTCCCTGCCGCGCAGGCGCACGGAATCCTCGGCTCGGATCTCGCGTTTCCGGCCGTAGGGCTTCTCCCGCCTCTACCGGAAGCTGCGCTTGCTACCCGGGTAACGGGTCCCGGCTGTGGAAGCTTCCGCGGCGCCGCGATGGACCTCGAGGAGGCGGTAAGGAGGCGGTGCGCCTGGCGGGCCCCTACTGCCGGGGCCGGAGGGGAGAGAAGCTGAGGAGGAGCGGCGGAGAACGCCTCGGGTTGGGGCGGCCACCGGTTGGAGGAAGGCGGGGCGGAGGGCTGCGGGGCGGGGTGACGACTGGGCGCTGGCCGGCCGCATGCGCACGCGGCGTTGGTAAAGAGGCTGGAGTTTCTGGCTCGGCGAGGTTGTGGGCGGGGGAGGGTGTGGGGTTTGTCGTTATGGATGTGTTTAAAGATGAAGTTGTGGGTTTTGTGGGGTGGCCACCCACAGGGCTCATCCTCGAGACTGGACCACCCACAAGTTCCCTTTAATGCTGGGGTGGGTGAAGGGGGAGCAGGGTTTGGAACCTGAGATGCCCCCGGGTAACCCCTGTCGGTCTCTCCGGGAATCCTCGCCGCTGTCTCCTGCGGGGATTCTGAATTCGGGTTTGGGAACTCCCCAAATTTTCCAGCTGTCATTCATCGTAGTGTTAGTACGGGGTCATTGAACACTTTACCAAGTTGCCAAAATTAATTTGGCATGCTTTTTTTTTTGTTTTAGGTGCTACGTAAAATGGCACATTTTTGTTGTCTCACTTTGTCCCCCAGGCTGGAGTGCAGTGGCACATCACGATCACGGCTCACTGCAGTCTCGACCTCCTGGGCTCGAGAGATCCTCCCGCCTCAGCCTTCCGATTAGCTAGTACTGCAGACTTGCGCCACCACTCCCGGCTAATTTTTTTTTTTGGTAGGGGCAGGGGTCTCGCTATGTTGTCCAGACTGGTATTGAACTCCTGGGCTCAGGCGATCTTCCTGCCTCAGCCTTTGCAAAGTGCTAGGATTACAGAGGTGAGCCCCCGCACCTGGCCAAATGGCAAATGGCACACACTTTGATGGTATTAAATGGTACTTGATAATTAGATCAATGCTAACAACAAGTCAAACTCCAAAGAATTGGGAATCAGAGAATTAGGCCTGTATATACGGAAGCAGTACGGCCTTATAATACGGGCTTAAAAAATGTTTATTGAATGGTGGTTGGCTAACTTCTGTAGATGCTAGGCTGATGAAATTAATCATTGTAACTCACCATTAGCTAGTGTATCCCCAGACTAGGGACCATGTCTGGTCTGTTCTGCTCACCATTGAATCCCCAGCACTTAGTAAAAAGCCTAGTACACCCAGAGTTGATACTCTTTATGCTCCCGAATGAATAAATCGAAACTTGAAACCAGTACAAATCTAGTTCCTCTGTGGTATGCGCTTTTAGTGTCCTGGAGGAGTTCCAAATGGTATTTGCATTTTTAAAGTCTTCTCTATACTTATTTGTCATCTTCTTTCTCACAGAATTTTCAAGGAGCTTTGTTTACTCATCTTTGGTTCCAGTTTACCCCTACTACCTCCTTTTCTTTATTTTTCCTCTCACATTGCATATTTCAATAAATTTTCTCCAGCAGTTTAATTCGATTTCATACCGCTCCTCTCCTTGTTTGCAGATAATCTCTCTGATATATTTTCTATTGTGTATGATTTTTTGTTTATAAAGTTGCAAGGAACACACTAAGTAGAACTGCAGGGTTTAGGTACGATGTACTGAATGTGGCTTGATGGGAACACCTTTTCTGTCCTCTTCTCCCATAGGAAGAGTTTAAAGAACGCTGCAGTCAGTGTGCTGCTGTCTCATGGGGCCTTACTGATGAAGGCAAATATTATTGCACTTCTTGCCACAATGTTACAGAGGTAAGTAACAAATACCATTTATGAGTTTGCTTATGTTTTAAAAATTACTATTTCAGCCTGCTATTGTAGTCTAAGTCCCAAAGAATTTGGTTAATTTTTGTCACTCATGCAATGCCAACATTCCAAGGATGTGAGTGGTCTTGGGTACTTACACATAGGTTAAGGGATTTGTGAATTAGATTGAGGATGAGTTTTTGAAATTATGTTGGGCCACATTTATAAATGATTTCTTATTCAGAGTATATGGTTGAGGGAAATAATTAAAATTGTACTTAGAAGATGATGCATTTCTTTTTATTAGTACTTATTTACATTTTTAAAATGTGTCATGGTGGCTTAGAGGTTTGGAAGATGGAATGTTAGAAAACTTGAGGACTGGGCTGGGCGCGGTGGCTTATGCCTATAATCCCAGCACTTTGGGAGGCTGAGGCAGGTGGATCACCTGAGGTCAGGAGTTCGAGACCAGCCTGGCCAACATGGGAAAACCCCGTCTCCACTAAAAATACAAAAATTAGTCGGGCGTGGTAGCATGCGCCTGTAGCCCCAGCTACTCAGGAGGCTGAGGCAGGAGAATTGCTTGAACCCAGGAGGCAGAGGTTGCAGTGAGATGAGATCACGCCACTGTACTTCAGCCTGGGCAACAGAGCAAGACTCCATCTAAAAAAAAAAAAAAAAGGCTTAAGGACTGTTGGGAATATTGGAACTACACTTCATTATCCTTTTATCTTTGTATAGTACCTTACAGGTTACAAAGTGTTTTTGGATTCATTATCTCATTTCCTCCTCATCACCAATGTGAGAGCCTATTGATAGGGCTCACAATTTGAGTGAGTTTGCCAAAGTTACCCAAGTTCCAGGACTTGAATATGAGTCTTCTGACTTCAGCATTCATTTTACCCATCTTGTCATACTGTCCTGTGTAACCTTGGTAAACGAGGCTACCTTCACGTTGTGAGGGCTAGGTCCTATTGTGGTGAACACACCTGCAGGCCAGCATCACCAAAATAATCAAGGGTGTAGAGAGTCTGCTAGTAGACGGGCTAAATGTGGCCAGGACTCTCCTCTGTGGAAAAGGATTTCCTCAAAGTCTACAGAGCCAGGAAGGGACAAATGTTACCTTCACCGTACGGGCTTAAGAAAGGCAAATTTGGGACAATAAAAGTAATTGTAGACTTCTGCTTCTGGCTGAGATGGAGTAACAGAGACCAGACTTAACTTTGTCCACTAAACAACGAAAAACCTGGACAAAATATATGAAACGAGTAAAAGGAAAAAAATTTTCCCTTGAAAAAAACTGGTGAATTGAGCTTGCAAGTCTGTCACACGAGTGCTTTTCCTTGAGACAGTGTTCTTGAGTCTGCAGCTGGAATGCTTATCTCTGCTTCCTATTTAGTCACACAGAATATTAAAAAGATACGTGCTCTCTTGATGAAATTGTTGGGGTGATGGAGATATTTATTATCTTGATTGTAGTGATGGTTTTGTGGAGATATATTTTGTGTGTGTGTCTGTGTGTGTCAGATTGTGCACCTGACAGATATGCACTTTGGTCCTCTCCCTCAGTGTGTAGTAAGGAGCTAGCAGTTTTACTCACTGTTGCTTTTGTACTATAGTGCAGGTGTAAACACAGTGAAGAAAGATTGTGTCTAATGGAGTATTTGCCGTTAGTAGATGAAGTCCACATACTATTTTTATAGGAGTTGAACTACATTAACTAATTGCTTTTCTATTTCTGGTTTTGATAGTTTCCGTTTGATTCTGTTTGATCAAATCTGCTGCAGTCATTTTTTAGTTTGAAAGATCCTAATACCACTACCTAGCTCCACATTTGAAAGACTGTCAACTCCTGTGAAGTAATTTGTCAAGAATGTAGAGTTCATGAAGATGGACAACATCTTTATAAAGACCAAGAACCTAGCTCAGTGCCTTCCTTTCAGACAACAGGCTTAAAGGAAAAAACAGTTATGCGTTGCACAACTTCAGTAGTTATTCTCGGCTTTATGGTGATCCAAGCATGTTCTTCACATAGACTGTGAGAATATGATATGGTTGGGGCTCCCTGGAGCTGAGCAGTGTGGTGATGGTGATGCTGAAATACAGTGGGCGGAGAATGACGAGTGAGACAGTTACAGCCATGAAGAATGGAAGTCATGGTGCAACTTGCCTTATTTTTCTGCCCCTTTTACTGCCCCCTCTTCCTCAGCATGTAACTCTCAAGTTCCAGACACACTCTGCAATCTGGGAAAGGACTTCCGAATTGATAAAGGAACCAAAATGTTATCCTGATATATTTTATCCAGGAAAAAATACATATAAGGTCATAAATCTGTTCAATTTAGACAATAGATATTTTTGCAAGAGTTTCATGGATATTTAAAAAGATGTAGGCTAGACTTGTGTGAGTTTAATAGATTTTTATGATTATAAGAGCAATGCATGTTTACTATAGAAAATTTGGAAATTACGAAGAGGAAAGCTAAAATCACCAGTAATCTCTATATTTGTCTCTTTTTTCCTGTGTATGAAATGGAGAAAGGGATGTGTGAGTACTGTTCAATCTGTTGCCATAACAATTTGAAAAACTACTTTATCTAAACATTTGCAGACATTTTTTACAGACTGTAAATATTCTGTAATAGCCATTCGGTAATTTAATTAATTATAGCTCTAGTTTTGGATGTTTTACTTTTTCACGGTTTTTGCCCTTTCACATTTTGTCTAGTACAGATTTTAAGTCTTTTTTTCCTGGCTACCCTTTGTAAGTTTTATTGTCTTTGCTAGATAATGGCTTTTGTATTTATTTTGACGTGTCTTACGTTCTCAGTGTGGCCAACCCAGTATACCAAAATTGCTTTGAATATGGTTTCTGTGATTAGAGAGGTTACATTTCAGAACTCCTGTTGGTAGAGACATATCTTTTATTCTTATGGAGAGTTAAAGATAAATTTCATTCCAAATCTCTAAATTTAGAAAAGCAGTAATGTCCTCTGTTGGTTAAAAATCCTTACCTTTCTTCTGGCATTAAGACTCAATAATGGGGGCTGGGCGCGTTTGGCTCACTCCTATAAGCCCAGCACTTTGGGAGACCGATGTGGGTGGATCACCTGAGGTCGGGAGTTTGAGACCAGCCTGACCAACATGGAGAAACCCCGTCTCTACTAAAAATACAAAATTAGCCAGTTGTGGTGGCGCATGCCTGTGATCCCAGCTACTCGGGAGGCTGAGGCAGGAGAATTGCTTGAACCTGGGAGGCAGAGGTTGCAGTGAGCTGAGATAGTGTCATTGCACTCCAGCCTGGGCGACAAGAGCGAAATTCCCTCCCAAAAAAAAAAAAAAAAAAAAAAAAAAAAAAACTCAATAATGGGAACATTTATTCTACTTTATGGAATAAAGTGTGGCCTCATTTTAAAAAAAAGACTCAACACTTTATTTTTAGTTGTGGGAGAGCCAGAATCTTTGATACTTGCCCTTGAGAGCAGTTAGGATTGAAGACTCTGGTATGAATTATACCAACCATTTTAGCCATTCTAAAATTCTGTAAGTTTGATTAAAAATAAAAGGTAATATGTACTTTTATAATTTCAGAAATGAAAGCAGTTTTAGAGTATTATTCAAAGACATGGAAAAGTAGGCCAGAAGTAATCTGTCTGTAGTTTAGGCATTACCACTTACAATAAATACATAAACTGTTTTAATACCAAAGTGTATTTTGCGTGGAGAAAAAAGTGAGTAAATTTAACTTTTGGTTTGGCTTGGTTTGTAAAAGTTAAAAAGTGATTTAAAATAAAAGTTTATTCATTTTACAAACACTTTATGGTTGCTGTATTCCAGGCACTGTTTTAGTTACTGAGAAATTTTGAATGAAAAAACAACATCAACATTAACTAGAATGTTAAATGTTTATAATTTTCCCAAGATTTTACCATCCTTCGTCCTGGTACTCACAATTTGGTTCATTATACGTTCCAGAAAATACCTGGAAATATGCTTGGGGGGATGTAAAACTATCTTTTTAATGGTCTTTTTCTGTTCCTGCAGAGATCTCAGGAAGTTATAAACACTGATCTTATTCCTAATGCCCAAATAAAAGCCCTCAACCGGGGGCTTAAAAAAAAAAACAACTCTGGTAAGTTCTTTCTTGACATGTGCTTAACATTCTTTATTCACATCTTCACCTTCATGGTGAGGACATGGAATGGAATTTTAAGTAGATTCTAGAGAAAATGCCAGATTTTATCTACTGGCATACGTTCTTCTGGCCTGTGTTTGTTATTCATTGTGGTGAATATGATTTCCTGTACTTTTATAGAAAAAATGCTTATTTTCTGAAATAATTCAACCGTGGAATTGTTAGGTGAGTTAAATACAATATTCAACTTCTAGAAATCCATTTCTCGTATTGAATTTTGAACACATCCTTTTAAAAATTGGGAAAATTATTTTCCCTTAAAATGGCCTCAGCATGAGTGTGCTTTGAAAGGTAAAGTCTTTCATTAATCCAGTGAGTACATATAATTAACCATTATTGAGAAGGATCGTAGGTAAAGTCTAACTGATGGTTTTTATTTTTGACTAAGTACCGAGGACCAAATCCCCAAGTTTGAAACCCAGGTAATGATAATGGGGACTCTTCTACATGAGATAGCTTTAAGGATACACACACATTTAAAAAAATGTGTATATTTATTTGTGTGTGTGTGTTTATGAAATATATGAAATACGTTAACATTCTTAGATGAATAACAGTGAATGCCTAAATGCTATCTCATGTTTCTGTTTAGCCTTTAGTAGTGACTTTTTATTAGGCTAAAACCTGATTAACTTTTGTTAAATTTTATTGGAGTAAAACCCGATTAATTTTGCCTTGACCTACTTAAATAGTTAAAATGTGTAGTTTAAACATGCATTTCTTAAGGAACTTCAGGTGCTTTATATTAGGTGTTAGGTGTCTTATAGTCAACCTCGTCACCCTTAGTTTCTTCATTTGTAAAATGAGAATAAAATGCCATCTGTTATGAAAAATAGGAACACAGACTCAAAATTTAAAATACAACTTTGTCAGTTTCTAAGAACAGTATGCAAGAAGAAGAGGGAGTATATATGCATGTAGCTTGAAGAGTTTAAACTTCCTCAGCTTATGGACCATTCAGAATTATTGGGTTTTCTGTTTTACTCTTACAACTTGAGACCCTTTCTGGGAAGGAATTGGGTTAGTCAGCAGAGGTGGGGAGACTTTGTGACATTTAGGTAAGGGAGAAGAGTTGAAGTCGTCTGGCATTCTGCGGAGAAGAGATCTTGAAGTCAGTAACCGACCTCAAGCTCTGTGTAAAAAGTACGGATAACAAGCTTTTGGAAGAGTTACAGTATTTGTCCAGCGGTGAGGGGCAAAACGTAAGGGTCTTCATAGACTTTTCCTTCAGCTCGTAGTTGTCATTAAACACGTAGCTCTGTCTATTGTGGTGGCAGATTTCTTCACAGTCTCTTAGGGTAGTTTTGAGTATTCAAGAAAATAACCCACTTAAAATACCCAGCACACACTTGGCACCTAGGTTGAGCTCAGTATTAGTACCTTGCTTTCATTTTCTCCCTATAACCTAGAACCATTTCAGGAAAAGCAGAATGCCATTGAGCATTTTATTTTCTTTGAATGTTCTTACTGCCCTTTTCTGTACTCCTGTATCACGAGATCTTGACATTCGTCCATTCATTCACTAGAAGTTCACCGTTCCCTTGTGAGTTGGAACAGAAAAGCAGTGGAAGCAGTTAGTACTTTCCTTTAGGATTCCGCTGGGCATCATTCGTCATTTAGGATTCTGCCAGGCATCGTTCGGGAAAACAGACATTTTAAAAACTTGTTTCACTTTTTTTTTTAATGTGGTGACTATTCATTTTTCTGCCTCTTAGGTTAGTATTTTCAGAAAAATACAGATAATGGAAAACATTTGAAATCTGAAATTATATAAAATATTTAGTTTCAGCATTTGTATACACATTTGCCAGGTTGGAAACAAGAATATAAGAATGGAAACCCTCTTCAGTGGTACAAAAACATTCAAGTTGCTAAGCTGCTAAGTTCTGGGTTAATTTAAAAAAAAAAAAAAAAGAAAACTTCAAGTCACAATATGTAAAACACAAATTGTAACTGTAATAGCATTAAAGTTTGTAAATTAGAAATGTAAATGCTAAAACATGCTATTTGTCATTTAGAAAAAGGCTGGGATTGGTATGTGTGTGAAGGTTTCCAGAACATTCTTTGTCAACAAGCAGAAGCCTTAAAGAACCTTGGAATAGGCCCAGAGTTAAAGGTGAGTACATTTGTGACTAGATGTTAGCTTTACATATTGTTGTTTAAAGAACAGTAAGACTTAAGAGTGGAACTAAGGAGAAATCAGTAATAACACTAGGGCTACTGGAAGAATAATTTTTCTGATGTTTTTGCTTTAACCTTTTAGTAGGTTAGCAGTTCTGGAAGTGTATTCTACAGGATGTAAATAAGCAATACATCCAAAAGAAAAATTTAAAGGTTTTAGTCTTCAGATACTTTGGAAACAACAGGTTAAACAAAGTAAAACTCAAATAACTTTGGGAGTTTATTAGTACCATTTATGTGTTAATGTGCTTGTTTAATTTCCAGGGAATGTCCTGTGTGGTATTCACAATTTCAGAACAGAGTCATTTGGTGTATGTACATAACGTCTTTCAGGACTTGAGTTCCACAGAATGCATTTTGGACAGTGATATGCTCAACCAGTCGTTCACTGGAGTGTGCATCAGAATCACCTGGAGGGCTTGATAAAACACCAATCACTGGACCTTAATCCCTGAATTTCTGAGTTAGTATGTCTGAGTAGGGCCCAAGAATGTGCATTTCTAACAAGTTCTTATGGGACACCGATGCTTCTGGTCCGGGGACCACACTTTGACTTTCCTGCCTTCCTGGAGCAACGTAGTATTTCTGCAATTATTTGAATTTCACATTCGTTCATCTAGTAAAAGCCATTTAAAGAATCCTTTAAAAAGCCAGTTATGGCTGGACGCGGTGGCTCAAGCCTGTAATCCCAGCACTTTGGGAGGCCGAGACGGGCGGATCACTAGGTCAGGAGATCGAGACCATCCTGGCGAACACGGTGAAACCCCATCTCTAAAAAAAAAAAAAAAACTAGCCGGGCGAGGTGGCGGGCGCCTGTAGTCCCAGCTACTCGTGAGGCTGAGGCAGGAGAATGGCGTAAACCCAGGAGGCGGAGCTTGCAGTGAGCTGAGATCCGGTCACTGCACTCCAGCCTGGGTGACAGAGCGAGACTCCATCTCAAAAAAAAAAAAAAAGCGAGTTATTTAGCAACAAGTTGTTCCCTTGCTTCGTATGCTTCATTGGAAACCAAGTGTTGAGAGTTCCAGCCTAGTTGGGGAGAGGGATTTGGGAGTATGTGAAATGAATAGACATGAATTTATATGGTGATATACTCATAAGTGAATTTTTTTTTTTTTTTTTAAGAGAGGTAGTCTTGCTCTCGTTGCCTAGGCTGGAGTGCAGTGGCACAATCTTGGCTCGCTGCAACCTCCACCTCCCGTGTTCAACCAATTCTCCTGTCTCAGCCTCCTGAGTAGTTGGGACTACAGGCGCACGCTGCTACACCTGGCTTATTTTTTATGTTTTAGTAGAGATGGGGTTTCACCATGTTGCACAGGCTGGGCTCAAACTCCTGAGCTCAGGCAATCCACCCACCTCGGCCTCTCAAAGTGCTAGGATTACAGGCGTGAGCCACTGCACCTGACCCTCATAAGTGATATTAAAGGCAAAAAGAGAACAGATAAAGATCAACGTGGGCTGCAGTCACCAAGGAAAGATTTGTAGAGGAGCCTTTGCTGTTCAAACTGGTGGCTGGGGCAAGCCCAAACAGAACAACTACGTTTCCAGTGCATGGCCTAAATGGATGCTGGGCCTACCCTGAAAGGTGTTAAGTATTAAAAATTCAGAAGCATGAAGCAACAGAGGCTTACCTATAATAGTGTTTGCATTAGGTATGATAGCTGATAGTGGGGGTTTGTGATCTAGTTTCTGCTCACGTAGTCATTCTATGTATACATGTTTAGAAACAATTTTATATAATTACACTGTATAGCTGTAGCAGGGTTTATTCCTATGTAACTTTATGCTCAACCTCATTAGGGGTTAATTCTGAAAACAATTTTTCTGAAATTAGCCAATGAGCATAACTGTTTAGACCTCATCAGTTGAGTGGCATTATGCCATGTACGCAGGCTCCAGAATCAAAACTGACTCCACATCCTATTGATAGTTTTTCTACTTACCGGCTGGGTAATCTTGGACAAGTTACTCATTTTCTTCAATGGTAAAATGAAGCTAATAGCTGTCTTACAGTATTGTGTTGGAGCTAAGGGATGCCTGGTACCTAGTAGATGATGAATAAATGGAAGAGTCTTTTTGTTTGTTTTTTTTTCTTTGTGAGACAGGGTGTTGCTCTGTTGCCCAGACTGGAGTGCAGTGACCTGATCATGGGTCACTGCAGCCCCAACCTCCCAGACTCGAGCGATCCTCCCACCTCAGCCTCCCAAGTAGCTGGGACTACAGGTGTGTGCCACCATACCTGGCTAACTTTTTGATTTTTTGTAGCGATGAGGTCTCACCATGTTGCCCAGGCTGGTTTTGAACTCCTGGGCTCAAGCAGTTTCTCCTGCCTCAGCCTCCCAAAGTCTGGAGATTACAGTAGTGAGCCACTGCCCGGCCGGAAAAGTTTTTTGTTTAGTTTTACTTTCACTTGGGACTGGTTAGTAAACCTGGTAACAACTTTGCCCCTAACTAAAAGTGTAGTCATGTATCAGTTGCTTTCCTACTCTGATCCTTAATTTACTAATATGCAAAAGAAAAGGACTCAACTAGGTTATTTTAATGTCTTTCTCTAAAATCTAAAATTAAGAAGGATTTTTTCAACATTCTCATGTACCTGATACTATGATGATACTATAATTCTTTTTAAGGAAAAGCAGGTAAGAATACGTGTGGATGGAAGACTTAACCAGCCCTCCAGGTGATTCTGATGCACACTTAAGCTTGAGAACCACTGGTTCAACATATTAATCCCCAATGTGCATTTTGTGGAACTCATGTTCTGATAGATGCTACATACAGACACCAAAGATTTTGTTATCAAATTGTGAATACCACGTAAAACATTTACTGGAAATTTATATGTAATATGTAAAATACAAGAGAGCTGTGGTATAGATGTGCCTGTACATTTGTCGTCATAACCTGAATCACCCCCTACTCATTTCCCTTCCTCCTTAGAATGACGTTTTACATAATTTTTGGAAGCGCTACCTTCAGAAGAGCAAGCAGGCATATTGTAAGAACCCAGTTTATACCACTGGAAGGAAACCTACAGTAAGTCACAAGTCTGAAAGTTGGATTAAAAAACATGTCTGTTGAGATGTAGAGATGAAGATGGGTTCCTGACCAGTTTGAGTATCTGAGATTATGATGCTTGTCAGAGGATTTTCAGTTAAGAGGCTTCTGTTAACAGTCCAGAAGGACAGGGTCACTGACATATAAATATTTTGGGGTTAACTTAAGATTTTTTTTTAAAAAAGGTTTTGCTAGAGTTGAGTAATTTCTTGTGTAAAGCAATATTAGCATCTCGCTAAAATCTTAGTGAATAAGTAAGCAATAAGTAAAATATTAAGCTGATACGTGAATTGGTAAGATAATTTCTACTTCACTTTTGAAAGGAAATGGGAACAATTACTTTTAATTAGAAGCATAGTTTTCTCAGGTATATCCATTAAATATTTCCTTAGTGCTTTGGATATAACTGTTTTGAGAACAGTAAGAGGCCTGCTTCTGAATCCTGGTCCCTACTTTTGAGCTGTATTATCTTTCGTGAGGTAAATTACTGAAAATGTGCAGAAGAAGCAAATTAACAAGCAAATATAGAGAGGGGGACAGTGGGGAAGGGTGCTATTTAATAAAAGGTGGTCATGGGGGCCCTTGCTGATGAGGGAGCTGAAGTGATGAAGAAAGTGAGAGAGTAAACCATGGGATATCTAGAGTAAGAAATGCAGAATTTCAGGTCTTACCAAGACCAGTTGAATGCAGGTATGCATTTTAAGAAGTCCCTGGGTGCTTCCTATACACATTACACTGAAGTTTGAGAAGCACTGGTATAGATGAGAAGTGATGGTGGCTGGGACCAGGAGGTAGAACTGGAGGTGTTAAGTGATAGGATTCTATATAAAGTCTGAAGATAGAGCCAACAGAATTTCCTGATGGATTGGTTGTGGGGTGTGGGAGAAAGAGAGGAATAGGAGTCAGTGATGACTCTAAGGTTTTTGACCTGAGCAGCTGGAAGGAAGGAGTTGCCATCAACTGAAGGGTAAGTGGGCCAGGAAGATCAAGGGTTCCGTGTTAAGTTTGAGACAGCTGTTAGTATCTGTGTTAGTCCATTTTCACACTGCTATAAAAATACTACCTGAGACAGGGCAATTTCTAAACAAAAGAAGTTTAATTGACTCACAGTTCCACATGGTTGGGGAGGCCCTAGAAAACATGTAATCATGGCCCAAGGATAGGGGAAGTAAGGCATGTCTTACATGGCAGCAGGAGAGAGAGAGGGAGAGAGACAGAGAGAGAATGCGTGTGTGTGAGAAAGCGCATGAAACTGCCACTTTTAAAACCATTAGATTGCATGAGAACTCCCTCACTATCATGAGAACAGCATGGGGGAAACCACCCCCGTGATCCAGTCGCCTCTCACCAGGTCCCTCTCACAACATGTGGAGATTACAATTTGAGATGAGAAATTTGGTTGGGGACAGAGCCAAACCATATCATTCCATCCCTGGCCCCTGCCAAATCTCATGTCCTTCTCACGTTGCAAAATCAATCTTGCCTTCCCAACAGTCTACCAAAGTCTTAACTCGTTCCAGCATATTAACTCATTAACTCAAAAGTTCAAGTCCAAAGTCTCATCTGAGACAAGGCAAGTCCTTTCCACCTATAAGCCTATAAAATCAAAAACAAGTTAGTTACTTCCAAGATGAAATGAGGTTACAGGCATTGGGTAAATGTTCCCAATCCCCATGGAATAAATTGGCCAAAACAAAGGGACCACAGGCCCCATACAAGTCTGAAACCCAGCAGGGCATTCACTAAACCTTAAAGCTCCAAAATAAGCTTTGACTCCATGTCTCACATCCAGGCATGCTGATGCAAGGAGTGGTCTCACAAGGTCTTGGGCAGCTCTGCTCCTTTGGCTCTGCAGGAGCCACATGGTCCAGAGTTTCATGGACTAGAGTTGACTGTCTGTGGCTTTCCAAGCGCATGGTGCAAGATGTCAGTGGATCTACCATTCTGGGGTCTGCAGGATGGTGGCCCTCTTCTCACAGCTCCACTAGGCAGAGCCCCAGTGGGGACTCTGTGTTGGGGCTCCAATTCCACATTTCCCTAGAAGAGGTTCCCCATAAGGGCTCTGCCCCTGCAGCAGTCTTCTGCCTGGACATCCAGGCATTTCCCTTCATCCTCTGTAATCTAGGCAGAGGTTCCCAAACCTCAGCTCTTGTCTTCTATGCACCCACAGGCCCATCACCACATGGAAGCTGCCAAAGCCTGAGGCTTGCGCCCTCTGAAGCCATGGCCTGAGCTATACTTTGGTGCCTTTTAGCCATGGCTGGAGCTGGAGTGGCTGGGATGCAGGGTGCCATATCCTGAGGCTACACAAAGTAGCTGCGCCCTGGACCTGGCCTGCAAAACCATTTTTCCCTCCTAGGCCTGTGGGCCTTACGATTCAAACTCCTGTCTAAAGCCAGTTTCTCTGTTTGCACACATGATCCCACCTTTGTGGGATAATCCCACCTTTGAGACATAATCATCTGTCTCAAAGATCTCTGACATGTCCTGGAGACATTTTCCCCATTGTCTTGAGTGTTAACATTCACTCCTCATTACTTATGCAAATTTCTATAGCCGGCTTTAATTTTCTCCCCAGAAAATGGGTTTTTCTTTTCTACCTTGTGGTCTGGCTGCAAATATTCCAAACTTTTATGCTCTGCTTCCCTTTTAAATAAAAGTTCCAGTTTCAGATAATCTCTTTGTGAATGCACATGACTGAATGCTTTCAGAATCAGCCAGGTCACCTCTTGAATGCTTTGCTGCTCAGAAATTTCTTCCGCCAGATACCCTGAATCATCTTTCTCAGCTTCAAAGTTCTACAGATCTCTAGGGCAGGGGCAAAATGCCACCAGTCTCTTTGCTAAAGCGTAGCAAGAGTAACCTTTACTCCAGTTCCCAATAAGTTCCTCATCTCCATCTGAAACCACCTCAGCCTGGACTTCATTGTCCATATC